TCGATTCTGACCCAACTACACACTTTCTCAGTCCACTTAAGTCAAATTCCGATAAGTCGAATTTTGGTTGAGTCGACATGGTCAGCTTAGTCCCGGCCTATTTTCCTTCTTTATCTTAGTATTTAAAATCCTGATAAGTCGAATTCGGGTCACTGGAATATTTGGATGAGTCGAATGAAAAAAAAAAAAAAATTCCGACTATATACACGTCATTGTCAAGTGAACTGTTCATTATCACTATGTCAGACAATTCCTTTCATCAACTAACATTTGTTCTCAAAATTAACACTACTTATAAAAGGGGAGGAAAAAAAAAAAAAACTATATACACGTCCCTGCCAAGTGAATATTTTATTATCACTGTGTCAGAACAATTCATTTCATAACTAACATTTTTTCTCCAAATTAACACTACTTTTAAAAGGGAGGGAATAAAAAAAATTAAAAGAAAAAAAAAAAAAAACAGAAAAAAAAAAAAAAAGCCACATCCAAAGGACGGTTTTCGTTTTCATGAGAAGTTTTTAAGTGTATTATCATGATCATCATCTTTTTCAGGTGCCTTGCTGACTGGTTTGGGCAAGCATGCTTTTCCACAATCCTCGATCTCCTGCAGCATGTATCAGTTCGTGTGCTGACACACCTCCATGCCGTGCAACAAGATTGTCATAAATCTTCTCTTCTTGTCGTTCTCTAACCCTCCTTGCATAGATCTTTGCAGTGGTCACAAAAGGTTTCACATTTTCTCTTTGCATAACATGGCTGAAAAATGATGACTGTCTTTTTCCGACGTCTGCGATAAGTTGTCTTCGGGCTCCTGCCTCTTTCAAAACCTCTTGATTGTTCTTTTTAGCTTTCCAATGTATTTTCATAATTCTTCTGGAAAACCACATCTCTGAGACCTCAAGAAATTGTTTGGCCTGCCTACGGATTGCCCAGGACTCACAGCGATATGTTAAAACTGGATGTATATAGCATTCAAGAATTGTTTTCCTAACCTTTTATGAGAGAGACATATTGCATTCCTAATTTTTTTTTAATGCAGTTTTTGCCTATCCTGTTCTGTTTGTTAGCTCAGTGATGCAACTTCCGATGTTATCCATGTGCCCAGATACTTAAATTTCTGTACTTATTCTAAAAAAACACCATTGACTTTTATTATACAGTAGCTGTACCCGGCCTCGTGTTGCTGTGGCATAGTTTCGCTAAATGGAAAAGAAAGAAAAAAGAAATCGCACATCTCTAATATAGTTGATGTCGCAATCACTGTCGGCGCAGAAATGAAGATAGTCTTCGATGCCACCACCCCTCCCCCAATTCACACAATCGTTGCCTACGCAGATATAGAGATAGTCTGCTTTGCTACACTTGTAAATAACCAAGTAAGTCGTGAATATATATATATATATATATATATACATAATAGTGAAGGTAGCGTTGGTAAAATATATAAATAAAAAAAACTACGAAATGA